AAGATTGAATTGGTTGAGGAGAGATTTTAAATTCTCACTTACAGGATCACGCATTATCTAACGGTGGCAGAAAAAGGAGGCTTCTAGCCCGGCAGGATGGGTGGTACAGATCTGGTCTTGCAAGATCATTAGTAACTCTCAACTGTCATCGTTATCCGACATGGGAATTCCTAGTTCGAGGTCTGCAGAAGAGGAAAAATACCTCCCTGCTTTGGCCGAACTCAGACGGGGACATGGGGCTTCTTACAACGTATGAGATTGCAGATCTGATATCATCGGCCGACAGCTTGAGGATATCTTCGCGAGCTGGATTGACAGTTGATCTCGAGTCAGATATTGGGAGCGGCTGGAACCCGGTGGTACTGCCTCCGAGTACATAAAGCATGCTGGCCATCGGGTCTGACAGATAGTCGTCGCCACCGTTGGGATCGGCCATCCTGATGGGTCGACGCCGTCTTCGGATCGTCGGTGAGAGGTGTTTAGTTGTCAAGGTGCGTTCTCGAGACTTTCAAAATCGCAGCGGAAGGGAGACCAAAATGGTGAACTCCAAACGGCAGGAACACGCTAGCGGGCCGCTTGTTTCCCCCCCTCAAAGTCTGCCCTCCTCATCGGTGCCGGGACACCTGAATTACATCACTTCTAACAACAAGCAGCGGTTCCGGCAATGACACATTGTAGCCTATCTATTGATCGTAGGGTTCTCCTACAACCCCTTAAACCGTTGATCACGACACAGTGGTCCAATCCCTCTGGCAGTTCTCTCCACTCCCGATCTGAAGCCGAATACCTCATGTGAGGTTTGCTCCGCTATTCACAGTATACCCAAGCTGAGGATCGTGCAAGAAAAGACCCTTCCTTCCACGAAATTCGCTCTTTGGTCGCAAACAGAGTAGTCCTCGAAGCCAAACAAGATTTCCTACCAAGATTCGACGGGTGGTGGGTAGGGATAGGAGTCCATACCACCATCCCATTACTAGTCTAAAAATAGAGATCTAGGAACTATGTCTCTGGTTCCAAACCTCTTTGTGAAAATTTTTCTAACCTTTTCCTCTCTCGTTTTATGTCCTCTGATTTTTATATTCGGTGATATTGTAACTCCAGCGCCGAGAAAGAATTGAGTTCCAGTCTCCAGAATCAAGAGCGCTTCTCTAGAATCAACGAGCTCAAATGTAAGAAGATGATAGATTTTGAACTTTGAATGCATTGATTTTATTATCCTAGCTAGAAAGGCTCTTGCCTATAAGAGAAACCAGACCATTGAGATTTCTATTGCATGTTTGTGATGGCAACATGAAGGACAGTCTCTCCAGGGCATGTCTAACTCAAGGCGAGTTCAAACTCGCCGATAGAGAGACCTTCGTCCAGCATGCTTGCCCAGTCCCCATCTGTCCCCGTCAACTTTCGGATACGCTCAACAGCCTTCAGATCAATTCTTGGAACCTTCCAATCAGGGTTATCACGAGACACCTTCTCTATCGCAGCGGAAACCCAGCTGTACCCTTGGGCTACGTCCGGCGAGCTCCACGCGCGAATGTTCGACACGGCCTCTTCGCTGAGCTGGAACCTCATAGCATTGTAATATTCAGCCAACTCACAACCTCCTCCCAGGTGTGCTGAAAGTGGATATGGAAATATACTGAGAAGGACGACATCTCGGAAATCGGGCTTCGTGGGAGGCGTGGACATTGTCAGCTTTTCGAGGTTCGCAAATTTCGTCAACCTAATCATTGACGCGTTGGAGTAGCTGGGGTGCCGGAGAACCCGTTCTGATTCGACGACGAGATGGCGTAAGGACCGGAGGATTCGGGGGCTGAATTCCGGAATAACCTTGTCGAGTTTGTGAATGTACTCGTTGATGAAGAGGGCATCGATATTTGGATTGATATACAGGGTTGGTAACCTGGATTCCGGACGATAAAGTGGAAGATAGGACTCCAACATCTTGGCTCTGGACTCGCGGCAAGCATGTAATATGGGGGATGGTATTCTTGGCGAGGGCTGGTGGAAAGGCAATCCAACGAAGCGGACTTCTACGATGCGTGGCTCGGGAAAGCACCCCATCCAAATCTGGTCTCTCACTTTCCGAGGAAGGTGTTTAAACATGGAGAATGATGCGTTGCCCGTCGTCGGCTGGGGAGGTGACGATAATCGCGGGGGTACTGCCGCAATTGATGATCCAAGGCTTGCCACCCTTCGATAGACTGATGATATACATCAGCAAAAGTTCAACATTAAGTTGTTGTTGTTGTTGTTGTTGCTGTATTTATTTACATCGGGCGGGTAGCAGGCGAAGCCTGCCGCCCTGGGACCTCCCATGGGGTACGGCGACGTGCTAAGCTAAGGAGTTACATACAAGAAGGCCCCAGAAAGCAATTCAAAGTACTGTAGCGGGGGCTACTGTCGTCTGCGCCCTTCCCCTACAGAGAGGATGGATCACAGTGAAAGGAAATCTCTCGTCAAGGGAAACCACAAAAGAGAGTCAGGCAGGTACAGACTGCTGTAGCCAGCTTGTAACGTGGAGTTCAACATTAAGTGTGCATTGGAATGGGAAGATTTACCTGGTCCGCCATGCTTCGAGATCTCGGATATACCTGTGCCTGATGCTTCGCTGCTCAGAGTCCCAACTATATGAACGTCTCTTTTCCAGATATAAATGCGACGCAGTACGAGCTCAGATGGAGTTTGGTAGCGCAGATCTTCCGTCCAGATAAAATTCACAGGAATTCATACGGTTTTCAGCGTTGGGGTGATGAAGTACTGATGAAGTAGGGATGGAGAGATGGAAAGAACATTGTGCATTGTGCCAATGTTGAAAGTTTAGCGAGCTGTTGACTCCCGGGCCTTCGCAAGTTCGCTCCCGTAAAATAATAGTGGGACTTGACGTTGCAACTTTTAAGGAAAGGGCCCTAAACGTTGCGCCGTCAAGTCCCGTTTGTAAACTGGAACCTCGTACGTGGTATGTGCCCCATGCCACAGAAAGCTTCCTGTTGAGTTTTCCTTTTTTCATTTTTTTTCCCTTCTGCTTTTTTAAGAAGAGGCGAAGGGAGGGGTGATGCTAGCTTCAGTATCGGATTAGGACCCAAAGGTGGTTAGCTGTTCACTAATTTTCCAAATCCCATCACAATCCAAGAAAAAAAAAGAAAAAAAAAAGAAAAAAAAAGAAAAAAAAAAGAAAAAAAA